GTCAACTGTTTAAAAGTTCGAGTCGGGTCGGGTTGAACCTCTGACCCGACCCGACCCGACTCGTTCGGAGCTCTATGTTCATATGATGCTGGAATCAATAGATATGCTGGTGTTGTGAAGGCAGCTGAATCAAAATCGATCATTTCTGTCAGTGGAGAATTATACAAAGGGAAAACATAGTTCAAATAATCACTTCGGACATAGAATGGAATAATGTTGGAAATATAAGTTACATATCATCCACCAAACAAAGAGCCAGCAACAAGAGGCATAATCAAGACTTGATGAGTTACGAAAACAGATGTTGAAAAAGACCAAACCAAAGGTCAATGATCAACATTGAAGAAGAGGAAAATGTAGTAGTAGTGAACCAAAAAGATTCCACCAAAGAATTATTGGATGACAAAACTAAGAACAACCTTGAAGAAACAGTTGTTGATTCAAATACAAGAGCAAGTAAGCTAAGATTGGTGAAAAGTGCCAAGTTATGATTATTTGTAGTGAATCATGTTTATAATTATTTTTTCTTTTCCTTCTACAAAAAATTTTCTCAACTCTTCCCATCTCTTGCTCGTGAACCTTTCTTTATTTATAACCAGCAATTATTTTTTCAAGAATTTTTTTTATTGTTAATGTAAATGTAAGAGATTTTATTTTTCCATTTGCTCAATGAATTTATAATAACTGATACATTCTTTATTATCCTTTTTTGTGTAAAGTTGAATTTTATGAACACATACAAGATTAAATAAAAATTTTGATCTCCAAGAGTACCTTGCATATAGTAAGTTGCATATATTGCAATCTACTTATGATTAGACTGTTACCTACTTATAATCAGACCAAATATGATGGTGGTGAGTTTTTGTGTCAGGCTATATTCAAATTTTCATACATCAGGATGATGATGAATTCATGTTTTTGTTGTCAGAAATGGGAAAACCAATCCATAAAAAAATACACTATAGTTGCTGGATTTCAATTACTTATTAAGTATTTTCCTTGCCCAATACTGAGGCACTATGTTGCTTTAGGGTGATGTGCATGTTGTGTTTTTCATGTCATGGCACATGTGGACTTTCATGTAC